GTCTCAACCGCTCATTCAAATGCGCCATTGTGGTGGCAAAGGGGATGTGAAACGCGAATTTGGATTCCGAAAGGGTTGATGGATCCCACGTGCTTCTGATAAACAACTCTAAACACAGCCAAGCACCCACGCGGCTTATCTTCTCACACCGACAAACCGTCACCATAATCATCATCATCATCACCACCACAACACAATCACGTGGGCCGTTGTGGAAATGTAATAACTAGACCACGCGCCTCAATCGCTCTTCTGTCGCGAGACGTACGTTCGCTGTTACAAGCCTCATCAGGCACACGGCCCTCTGGAACGTAGACTATCGGCAGTATTGGTTCAATGCAACAACAAACAAAACCGCACCTCCGATTAGTACGGTTGGCGACGTACGTTGCAAAAGGAAGTTCAGCATACGTACAATATTGGACCGGTTTCGACACGCAAGTGTCTCATCAGCAGTCAGGGCTCGCTTGAATCAATGCCGGCGAACTTCCAGATGTAGCAGGCAAAAACACAAGCAGATAAATCACAACATTTTAGTGGCCACTCATCAGCTAATAGTGCTTCTCCACACACAGCATCTAATGGAGGCCATTATGACCACGCATCACTGTCGGTTTATGCAGTGGCCGGCAACCAACGAATAACAACAATGAGCCATTTTTAAAATCGAATTCGGTAACAAACAAAAAAACCCCGTCCCCCTCGATATTTCAAGCACCGCACTGCGCTGTGGTTGAATACGAGACGGCGGCGGTCCTTAATCATTAACGTCACGAAAGCAGCTCCTTAAAGACAAGTGATCTTGATGGCGGTGCCCCGGGGTACACAAATAATTCAAACTGGCCGAGGCAATTAAAAATATTTTATTTCTGGGACACTATTTTTTTCTCCCAGGGGTGTTACTTCACTCCGCGACTGGGGTTACCAATCAATCCGAAATCGGTGGTGCCACACTCCGCGATGTCGAGACGCAGCGAGGGACGATTGCGCCGAAACCCTGAACGCTCGTCTGCACCGTAGTGGTGGTGCATCGTGAGTACAGCTCGTCGAGATGAGTCTATTGCCGCAGCGCCGACCATCAACAGACTGTACATCATTGGACCTCCTTTGCCAGTACCAAAATATAATAATAGGGGTTTTCCTTCTTTTTTTTCTGGCAACAAAACTGAAACCTTTTTTTTTAAGAGGATTCATGTTACTGCATTAACCACAATACTTGCGGTCAAAATGCAAACCAATTGGGTCGAGGCTCTAAAGAAAGCTGTCTCTGGTGTGGGCCAATCAGTTTCAAGGACAATGCCAGTTATATTATCATAGTGTGGTTTATGTTTGCATTTTGGCTGCAAGTATTGTGGTTAATGCAGAAACATGAATCCTCGTAAAAAAAAGGTTCAGTTTTGTTGCCAAAAAAAAGGGGGGGGGGAACCCCTATTATTAGACTAAGAATGACTGCATCACGGATTTTACGGGGTACGATGGGACCCCACGGACGTCGCACCGTAGGTGCAAGCGAATTTGTCTGTGCGTGGCCTCGGAGCTCCGAGCCAACCACTTGCCGAGTGCCTGGGTTCGAGTCCGGGGTCGAAGCCGCCAGCTTGCGATGAAACTGGTTTGTCTTGTGAAGCGAGTTGATGGTTCTTCATCCTTAGTCAACCAATAGACAAAGAACCTCCCGTATAGCCTGCAACAGACTTTTGGGACAAGTGCTGTTAGCGAGCATCTAAAAAGGCCGGCACGGCACGGTACCAGGTGGGTGGCCAACGCAACGCCCGGCCGCCTTTGCCTCTCCAACGCTGATGTATTAACACACCGAACAAGGCACTCGTTTAAGGCTGAGGTAACCCATGGGAAAGCCCCATAAACGGTTCACATACATATCTGAACGCTAGTATTGGTCGTGAGTGGGAATCGAACTCGGGTGTCCTGGTTCGTAGCGCTGCGCGCTAGCCGCTGCACGACCGCTCCCAACCAAGTTATCTCACACAGCGCAACATATTTGCACATCGGCTCAATTTTCCCGAATAACAATCAATTGTAATTGTTTTACACCGTGTTGAATGCAGCGGCCACGAGTGACTGGAAGGGTGCTAGGCGAACTACGGAAAATGTCAAGGCGCAGCCCTGCAACTGCTCAGCTGCCCGCCACTGCTGATAGAAAGGCCTCCCCGTCCAAGAATCTCCGGACCGATAACGCTCTCGAGACCCTCTCCACGTCTGCACGGCACACGCAGGCGTCTTGGTCGAGGTGGGAATGGCCACACTCTACCCCACCACAGGCCACCTGCCGATCGACTCACTGATTGGGTGCTGTGCAATGCACTCAATCGTGCTCAAGGTTGGACATAGGCGTCGGAGAGGGATGGAAGGACACGTGTCCCGTTGTTTAAATACAATTAGTTCGAGAGCTCATTGCCCCGAGAGCTGCCTTGTTGTGTTCAGGCTGTTGTCCTTTCTCGCACCTCCGACCAGCACGGTTGGCTACGCGTACGCGTGCGAAATAAGTTCAACATAACTGCACATACAGCTGCCGTTCCGGGAGATCGAACCGGCGCGGCAGGACCAGCGAGGCCCACTGATTTCACCTCTGGTCACGGCTTCATCACACAGCTAGTCGAATCCAGCAGGATTCTGACAACTCGCGATGATACGATAGGATGCCACGCGTCATTGGGCCAAATACTATCGTTAGGATTGCAGAAGCAATGAACACCACCCCCTGATGAGTACACGCACGGTGGCTGAATAATCTTGTGTTCAGAGTGCCAGATAAATTAAGTTTCGACTCCTATCACCGCTCATTTAAACTTGGAAACCCGTGACTTTAATTATGCATCATACCAACGTTTGTATGCGACACCGTCATTATTCCTAATAATTGCCCATTGTGTGCAGGATTCAGGAGGGATGCCATGAGCCAATGTTGGTTAATCAGTGACGAATACATATTTACGGTAGGTGATTCATAATTAAAGAAGATAATGAGGAAGTAATTGGTTCATGTAGCCGAGGTTACGGTGTAAATCTTTAATCAAGGCTAAGTTGGACACGGTGAGCGGGAAGTCCCTACACCCTGTCTGGGAGGCTCTGGCTGGCGTGTGGTTTAATGAGTTTTGCGGATGTTCTCGCCCACGATACACAGGTGTGGCAGTGCCGTGAAACACGGTGGAGTTTAACAGTGCGGTGGGAAGGCGCTGCTTACGATAATGGTGACGAGTGCTTGAACGTGTAATGCGATATAGTCCATGAGTATTAATGATAAATGATAATACTGTGAAAGTGATTAGGATAATGACACGCGGATCCTTGTCAATAAAACAAACGAGGCAGCGAAGACGACGATGATGACGCTGACGACGATGGCAATTCAATGAGTGTCAAGCAGGCAATACTTTACAATTGGAATGATGATCAAGATGAAGAGTGCACGAGGGAATATTGCACCATACAGATGATGATGATGATGGTTATAATGATGCTATCAGTAGAGGCACCACGAGACAGTGATGATAAAGGTGATGAACGTACAGGGTGGCCCAGATGTTTTGTGACCCCCCAATTCAAATTGACTTCTATTCTCTCTTTGCATGTTCGTTTCTGTTTTAAATAAACCTTCCTTTAAAAATAAATAAATACACCGCGCTAATCGGAGGTCCGGGGGAAGGACAACAAACTAAACTAAAGAAATTAGTTTGCGATCGAGAGCTCCATGTGTCGTTCCACGTGTCAAGAGAGAGAGAGAGATGCTGATGATGAGCAGGGCATTCACAATGCAGTGCTATAGTAGTGATGAGGATGGCATCAAGTCATCGCACACACACAATACTGAAGCACGCCAGCGATGGTAATTTAATGATGGGAATGCCGAATGTGCTAATTAATGATCGACGTTGCAGATGCAGCTACTGCTACTGTTACTGACCAACCAATCAATGTGGATTTGTTACACGGAAGGTCCCATTTAGTCAGTTACCCAGCTAGTTTACAAGGGAGATCCGTGGTGCATCAACACAGAGCAAGAACGTCAGTGGTCCGTACAGAGGAGCAGATAACGACGGAACAAAACGCGTCAGAGGTACAGGCAGACGTCTGCAAAATTTAAAAGGAATACAAATGTACAATATAAACAACATTAACAGCAGGAATATTGCACCATGATGATGTAGCTCCTCCTGCTGCCGATGATGCTAAAGGCTGCTGCTGCTGCTGATGGTGACGATTATGAACAGTACATACACAATACCGTGCGATCAAGAGTGATACTGCCGATACAGATGATGATTTCGCTTGTTCACCCAGGAAAGCCTCACTGGGTCTCGCGACCGATTTATCAGTCGGATCCGACCTGAATCATTGCGGATATATTTTCAAATACTTCGAACGCTGCAGCTGATACAGTCGCTTTCTGCTGCTGCTACTGCTGCTGCTGATACTGCTGCTGTTACTGCTCCTGCTGCTGCTACTGCTGCTGCTACTGCTGCTGATACTACTGCTGATACTGCTCCTGCTGCTGCTACTGTTGCTGCTACCACTGCTGCTGCTGCTGACACTGCTCCTGCTGCTGCTCCTGCTGCTGCCCTGCCGCTGTTCCTGCTGCTGTTGCTACTGCTGCTGATACTGCTCCTGCTGCTGCTGCTACAGCTCCTGCTGCTGTTCCTGCTGCTGATACTGCTCCTGCTGCTGATTCTGCTGCTGATACAGCTGCTGATACTGCTGCTGATACTGCTCCTGCTGCTGCCCGATACTCCTGCTACTGATACAGCTGCTGACACTGCTCCTGGTGCCCGATACTCCTGCTGCTGACACTGTTGCATCTGCTGCTGACACTGTTGCTCCTGCTGCCTGACACTGCTGCTCCTGCTGCCTGACACTGCTCCTACTGCTTGCCGACACTGCTTGGCGGTGCGAGTGAGACTGCGCGCCGCTCCGCGCGCCGTGCGTCCCGTCAACACCACCACCACCACCACCCCCCCACACCCCACCGCCGGCTCGCCGCTACTCACACGAAGACGTGGTAGACGAACGCGCAGCCACGCGGCCGCTCCAGCACGTTGTAGAGGACGTTCTGCATGCGGCGGTAGCGCGCGTTCCTGCGGGCGAATCGCCCCAGCGCCCGCGGCTTCCCCAGCAGACTCAGCCGGGGTCCCTGCGCTTCCGCGTGGCCGGGCACCACGAGGGGCAGCCCGCCGTCCCGCGCCGGTCTGCGCTCGGCCGAAGGGCGCTTCATCGCCGCTGTCGCCGTAGCCGCCGTGGTCGCGTTCGTCGCGGTGGTGGCTGCGGTGGCTGCGGTGGCTGCGGCCGTGGTGGTGGTGGTGGTGGTTATCATCAGCACCATCGTCGCCGAGCCATGCACTCGTGCGCCGGGAATTCCTGGCTCAGCGCCGGTGCGGTCTTCGTGGCGGCGTCTGCCACGGCGGCTTGCTCCGTGAGCCGCCCGGCATCGTGTGAGCGGCTCCCGCTCGGCCGCGATGATATGCGCTCAGAGCCGTAGAGATGACGAACCATTGCAAATAGGGGGTCGCAAACATCCGCGGGGCATGTCACGCGAGACCGAGCGTGAGACGCGGCGGGCACGCGCGCGTCTCGGCGTGTGCGTGTCCGTGAAAGTGAGGTTGTGTTTATTGTCTCAGTGGGGTTTTGAAGAATGATTGTGTGTGTGTGTGTGTCCCCTTAACCTCGGGAAAACTGGCTCAGCGCTTATCTCTACCCCCATATACGGGAGTTGACTGTGAGCGTGAGCGCGCGCGCGCTTAAGTTTGGTTCATAAACACGTGGCTATCATGCGGCGTGAGATGATGATATTGATGAGGACGACGCAGGAATTATATTGATTACACGGATTACGACCATGACATCGGGATGCTTATGATTACAATGCAGTGATCATGAAGCCGAAGAAACTATGATGGTGATTATTACACTCGCACACATGACGGTCATTCCAGTGACGATGACTGATGGGCAGCGGCGTGCCACGCCAAATTTGATCGTCCCACAGTTTAGCGCAGCCCATTGCCGAGCGGAGACTATCACGGCGGAGGCGTGGAGGCCAAGGCACACGCGTAACACACACACATACACACACACACGCACAGAGAGACGAGCAGCGAACAGCAGGCTCACACTGAGCTGCACAGCAACGTCACACTGAGCTGCACAGCAACGTCACACTGAGCTGCACAGCAACGTCAGCGACACCGGCGGCCACACGTGGCGCACATCGGCCGCCGCCTCCCTGTCTCTGGGCACGAATGCAACCCGCCTCCTCCTCCTCCACGGGGCACGACCGGTGGTGCATTGTCCATCAAGAGACATGGACCGACACGCGGATTGCAGATGCCCCGTATAGCATTGAGAGGCTGTTGGGCTGCCATCGAGTAGCACTTATAAAGGCCGGAAGGGCACACGATTTTGGTTGGGGGTGGCCGACACCACGCCCGGCCACCTTTGTCTCCCTAGCGCTGATGTTTTAACACACCGAAGGACGTACTCCTTTACGGCTGAGTCAACCTAGGAACGACGCGTTCCCGGTTAAAATATCCGCTGCTGGTATTGGTCGTGAGTGGGAATCGAACTCTGGTCGCCGGGTTCGTAAGGTAGTGCGCGATCAGTTTCCATGAACACACGAAGTGCTGTTAGCTGTCACCCATGAAGGCCGTAAAGGGGGACACAGTATGAGGTGGGTGGCCAACACTACGCCCGGCCGCCTTTGTCTCCCCAATGCTGATGTTGTAACAAACTGAACTAGGTGCTCATTTAAGGCTGAGTCAACCTAAGGGAGACCCATGAACGATTCAAATACATTATTGGTCGTGAGTGGCAATCAAAACTCTGGTCGCCGAGTTGGTAGCGGAGTGAGCACATTCACACATCGCACCCAAGATCCCCCGTATCGGCTGTGTGGAGCAGTATCACGCCCGGCCGCCTTTATCTCCCCAGCACTTACGTTTTACTCTCCGCCTTTAAAGTACTTACTGCAAGGTCCAGGATTGTTGCAAATATCACTTTGCTGGTACTGACACAAGCACGCTTCTGATATGAGCATAATTCGAATACAAGTACACGTCTGATATAAGCACACCCGGCATGAAAATAGGGTACATCATCACAGTCAAACCGGCAAGTCTCGCGTGGTGGGGTGAAGTGTGGGTCCATCCCACCTCGTCCGTGACGTTTGATCAGCAAGGAAGAGTCGTCTAAATATCCTCTACACTACAGAGGTCTCCAACCTTTTTGGCACCAGGGACCGGTTTCGTGGAAGACAATTTTTTTCACGGGCCGGGGAGGGGGGTGGGGTTCATCATTGGGTCTTTCCCCCTTTTCAAAGAAGTTCTCCAGAGACGTTTGTTTCTTTACTCATTGTGGCTACTAGGGGTTAGAGCTTGTGGGCTTACTCATTGTGGGCTTACTCATTGTGGCTACTAGGGGTTAGAGCTTGTGGGCTTACTCATTGTGGGCTTACTCATTGTGGCTACTAGGGGTTAGAGCTTGTGGGCTTACTCATTGTGGCTACTAGGGGTTAGAGCTTGTGGGCTTACTCATTGTGGCTACTAGGGGTTAGAGCTTGTGGGCTTACTCATTGTGGCTACTAGGGGTTAGAGCTTGTGGGCTTACTCATTGTGGCTACTAGGGGTTAGAGCTTGTGGGCTTTATACCAACACTGTGACTGAGACAGTGCGGGAAAGAGGCGCGGATGGAAGTGGTGAATAATAAAATAATGTGGGTGGGCCACGTGCGGACTCACCGCGCTCACCTCCTGCTGCTGCACGGACCGGTACCGGTCCGCGGCCCGGGGGTTGGGGACCCCTGCACTAGAGGAGCCCTTCCGAGAGCAGTGGCGAAAACAATCAAGCAATGAGGCAATTGTATTGTTGCACCGTTCTTTACCCGTCAAGGCAGAAGCGTGGGTAAACGCACCGCACGGCGACTTGCGCCGCCGTGCGGTTTGTACGGTTCGCGCATGCGCATACGAGAGAGAGGGCGTTGATTACCAAACGATGACCGATTCCTGACTCTCGGAGCGGGTGATCGATCTTGAAAACGGTCATCGGTTGACTGGTTGTCGCAGAACAACTCTACTCAATAACGATAGGACTTGAACCGTTAATGATGTTGCCGAGTGGCCGAAAATCGATCTCATACGACGCTTTGGTAGGATCGTAGCGCAGTGCGGCAACTTGCACAAGTCCCCCCCCCCCTCCCCAACATACATCCAACAAAGGCAAAGATCCCCCGTGTAGCCTTAACAGACTGTCGGGGCAAGTGCTGTTATAGCGAGCACCTATGAAGGCCGGAACGGCGCACGAGCGGTTTGGGTGGCCAGCACCACGCCAACCCGCCTTTGTCTCCACACCAGATGCTCATTTGAGGCTGGGTCGACCGAGGTTTTAGACCCAGGACCGGTTAAACAAAAAATCGTCGTTGGCTGTGAGCGGGAATCGAACTTGGGGCGCCAGGTTCTTGTAGCGCAACGCGCTAACCGCTACACTGCGGTTCCAGCACACACGTACACACACTCATGTACACATACATCCGTGTATATATACACACACACGCACACGAACACACACGGACACACGCGCACGCAATGGCACCGGGAAGGACCCAGGCGCATTCTGTAAAAGCGCAGAGGAAACTTTGAACGTATTTTTGTTTCCAGTGCCAACGCAGAAAGTGCTGCTATTTTAAAATAACAAAGTCATATTCAAAGAGCGCGCTCTCTCTCTGTCTGTCTCTCTCTCTCTCTCGAAAAACAGAGTGAGAGAGCTCTCTCTCTCTCGCGACGGTTGTCGATGTGACAAGATGATTGACACATGAAGGAGTCCACAATATTTACCATTTTCCTGAGTGTAAATACAAGTGAAGTTTTACACGTTGCGCGCGCCTGATAATTGATGAACACACAGCCACATGACTAGAGAGGAGACAGGCAGGCGTTTGTAATCAATTAACCACGTGCGGCCGTGATGCGGGCTCTTGGGCACAACAACGCGGTCAGAGCATGCGTTTGGTGTCCATCCCCCGCACCTCCGATTAGCACGGTTGCCGACGTCCGGTGCGAAAGATGTTCAACATAAATCTTGACTTAAACCTTTCGTGACAGCAGGAATTCATATTCTTTGGGTCTTTCGGTAAGATCACGTAGATAGGTTAAAAAAATAACAAAAAATAACTACAGAGAATTTTTTTTAAATGACTACAAAGAAAAAATAACAACTACAGAGTAGTTATTTTTTGTTATTTTCTTTGAACCTATCTACGTGATTTTACCGAAAGACCCAAGAATATGTTCAACATACGTAAGAGGCCGCAACATGCGGAAGGAACAGATGCAGACGTCCTGCGACATTGCCAAGCTTGATCAGCCTGCACCGGCAATCAGTGGCGGATCCGAACATCGGTAAATTATAGTTATGTATCAGAGAAAATAGACTGAATGTTGTAATTACAGTACGATTGTTATAGGGCTCTATTTAACAAAAAGTTTTAAATGTTGGGCCCGTCACCCCCTTCCGCCTCTGCCAACAATGGGCAGGTTGACCATGAATGCGTCTGGAATTCTGAAGTGCAGCTCATCTGAATGCCAAGAACACAGGGGTGCTACGGTGGATGATGTGGCCCTACATCAGTGTTCTCTACTCATCTTCACTGTAGACCAGGTGAGTCTATGGGCCCCAGGTGAGTCTGTAGACCAGTGTTCTCCACTCATCTTCACTGTAGACCAGGTGAGTCTATGGGCCCCAGGTGAGTCTGTAGACCAGTGTTCTTCACTAATTTTCGGGGAGGGTGGGGCACTTTCGCCGATAAGACATCAGTGTGAGGGTCGTCACACATTTGAAACCATGAGGGGTTTGACAGCAGCACGATGATGATGATGATGGGGGTTGTTTTCACATTTTGTTTATTGTCAGGACCCCCACTAAAGGCCCACCAGGGGTCCGGCAGTGGCCCGCGGGACTTGCAATGAAGAACGCCGCCCCGCAAGAACCATCCGCTCAGAGTGACTCCAAGCTCAGCCGAGCACCGCGCTGGTTGGTGCTCATCTCCCGTGGCGCTCCCGAGTCGCCCGTGTAAATGATCATCGTGAAATCAACTATCCGTGTCTCTACTGAACTAATAAAGTCATTCTTACACGATCCCAGCAGTCATACAACGCCCTTCATGCTAGGGTAAGCCCATCATTTCAGCAACAACAAGCAAAACCTCTGGGCCGGTTTCGACACACCGCGTCTCACCAGCAGAGCGAGGCTTGCTTGGAACAATCAATGCCGGCGAACTGCCGACCTTATTGGCAAGCAGCCGCTGTTTACGATATTGAGTCCTAGTTCGGGCCAGGAATCTTGCTTGTCTTGAACCAATGCTGCTGAAACGATGCCCTCTCAGAAGGCCGTGCGGCTGACGGGTAGTATAAGTTGTTTGAGAAGGACTCTTATTTTGTACGTGAAGGACACAGTCTGTCTATTTTGTTTCACAGTATTCTCCCGCAAGGACGCTCACGATTTACATGCGTCATGTAAATAACACACTATACTGTAGACTTAAAACACGCTGTACTCTAGCATGCGTGCAACAACAAAAACCCCTACATACACACACACGAGACGTACGAAACCAAAGCGACAAACATTCCGCAGCATTCATCGAAATACTGGGAGCTCCTAAATTAAGGATTACGTTAACCCGGTTTAAATTAAACGTGGCTGTGAAATATGGAGGCAATATTGATTTGATGTAATGGGAAAAATTGGCTGGAATACACAATGAGTTACGCCTTTATTCACAGTATTTCCTTGCCGAGGAAACACGCTATACCCTTGCTTTGTTATGCAATGTAGCAATGTAGCAATGCACGGCAAGGTAATAATAGATCAAATGCATTGTTAATTTTTTTTTAATATGCATATTTGAACCAGTTTAAACCGTTCTTTATCAAACCGGTTAACCGGAACTAAACCTATCAATTGGTAAAGGTTCAGTTCCCGTTAACCGGTTTGATAGAGACCGGTTTAAACAGGTTCAAATATGCATATTAGACAATCGGTTCCTGAATCGGTTAAATTTATATAGGTTCAGTTCCGGTTAACCGCAACGATAAAGACAGCTATCGGTTAACCACAAACCGTTGCTGAAAATCAATCGGGTTGACTCCCTTATTAAGACAACCTTCTGCCCTCCTTCTTCGGAATTGAGAGCCGTTCTCCTTCATGTCCCTGGGTTTTCTTGCACCTTGGAGGTGGCAAACCCTAACTTCCAGGCCGGTTAACACGTCTGGCATCGGCCAATCACCCGTGCTCCTGAGTTAAGCCTCTTACCCCCCCCACCACCACACCATCGGGCGATGGATCTCAATAAGTGCACTCCTGTCGATGCATTGAGAAACATGTGGTCGATTTTGATTTTGCCGATGTAAAGCTCGCTGCACGAGGATGCGGAAATCTCACCGAGAACACACGCACAGCGCGCACGCACGCACGCAAACGTAAAAGCCCTTTCACAGAAGATACGCTTGCTTTTTGAAATTGGGTGTGCGTGTGGACCTGAACCTGGAAGAGCTGTAAAACGTTGTTTTATCGCTTTCTATATCCCATTTTTTTGCGCACGATGGCAGCAATGCGCTCACGAGCTAAATGCCAATGCCGAGGTCTGCTGAACACGGCGCGAAGGCTTTAGGGAGAGAGTTCGTTGGCGTGGTTTTGCTACGCCTGAAGGTTGAGAGACAATGGATTTGGTTCGCCCATCACTCTCCAACAGGGGGAAACGCAACTCCCGTAAAAAAATATCCAAAATTAGCAACAACAAAATATACAATTTACATTAATTTCCATACGTAGTTTTCGCTACGAGGAACTTAAGCTCCGAGAAAACGGACCACGTTGGTATTTTTGTTTTTGTTTTTACCAATACTTATATCGACAAAGACGGCGCCAACAGAGTCTCGGCGCTTCTGGCCAACGTGCAGGGTCAAGACGCGCGACTCCATTCGCTTTGCGCGGCTTTAAGGGCTCACGTTCGTATCGCCAATCACTCCCGAGGACAGACCGCGCCGCCCGGACAGCGTTGCCGAATCCGGCGGATTGACACGTGCCTTGCGTACCGCGGGCGGGCAGAGTCAAACCCATCCGAAAGTGACGGCAACGTCTAAAGTCAATGGCATTTTACTCCACCCGGCCACTGACTCGGCCACTGACTCACTGTCACCACGCGAGCGTTCGGCGAGGCGGTAAAAAAAGGTGTCGCTTGCACGGAAGAGACCTGGGAGAAATTCGGAGGTTACACGCACGGGCACACAAGGGGGCGCGGATGGGGTGGGACGTGTTCAACAAAAATGTGGGCGGAATTTCAGATGGAGGAACAATAAACCACAAAACGCTACTTACAAAAACAGCGTCCATGCCGGAGGCTACGTGGA